GTCTACAAAAAGAAAGCTACAAAAATACACTTTCGCATTCGTCTCGTCTAGCCTACTGTAGCCACATTGATCTCGCTTTTGGAACGTAATTCTCTTAAGGGGCAGCGTCCTATTTTGAGATGTAAAATCAATCTTCTCAAAATGAATGCAATTAATACAATGCAATTAATGAGAACAGTTTGGTTAGGACATCTACTTTGTGTGTTAATAGTGGTTTCTTTGCAGCAATTCGACCATGAAGGCCTGATTCACACAGTCTCCTCTGAACAGTTGATGTTGAGATGTCGGTTTCTTGAATAAAATTGTATTTTCCACCTGCGCCGAATAGAACAGGTTACTTACTTACAAGCCCTTAACCAACAATGCAGTTAAGAAAAACTGTTTAGTAAAAAATAATTAAAGAGCAGCAGTCAAATAAAATAACAGTAGGGAGGCTATATACAGGTGGTGGAGTCAATGTACCGGTTAGTCGAGGTAATATGTACATGTGGGTAGAATTAAAGTGACTATGCATAGATAATAAACAGACTAGCAGAAACAGTCCGGGTAGCCATGATTAGTCGTTCAGGAGTTATGGCTTGGGGGTAGAAGCTGTTAAGAAGCTTCTGGACCTAAACTTGGCGCTCCGGTACCGCTTGCCGTGCGGTAGTACAGAGAACAGTCTATGACTAGGGTGGCTGGAGTCTGACCATTTTTAGGGCCTTCCTCTGACACCGCCTGGTATAGAGGTCCTGGATGGCAGGAAGCTTGGCGCCAGTGATGTACTGGGCCGTACACACTACCCTCTGTAGTGCCTTGCGGTCGGAGGCCGAGCAGTTGCCATACCAGGCCGCGATGCAACCAGTCAAGATACTCTTGATGGTGCAGCTGTATAACTTTTTGAGGATCTGAGGACCCATGCCAAATCCTTTCAGTCTCCTGAGGGGGAATAGGCTTTGTCGTACCCTCTTCACGACTGTCTTGGTGTGTTTTGACCATGACAGTTTGTTGGTGGTAGACACCAAGGAACTTGAAGCTCTAAACCTGTTCCACGACAGCCCAGTCGATGAGAATGGGGGTGTGCTCACTTTCCCCCTGTAGTCCACAATCATCTCCTTTGTCTTGATCACGTTGAGGGAGAGGTTGTTGTCCTGGCACCACACGGCCAAGTCTCTGACCTCCTCCCTATAGGCCTATCTCGTCGTTGTCGGTGATCAGGCCTACCACTGTTGTGTTGTCGGCAAACTTAATGATGGTGTTGGAGTCGTGCCTGGCCATGCAGTCATGGGTGAACAGGGAGTATAGGAGGGGACTGCGCACACACCCCTGAGGGGCCCCCCATGTTGAGGATCAGCATGGCAGATGTGTTGTTACCTACCCTTACCACCTGGGGCGGCCCGTCAGGAAGTCCAGGATCCTGTTGCAGAGGGAGGTGTTTAGTCCCAGGGTCCTTAGCTTAGTGATGAGCTTTGAGGGCACTATGGTGTTGAACACTGAGCCGTAGTCAATGAATAGCATTCTCATGTAGGCGTTCCTCTTGTCCAGGTGGGAAAGGGCAGTGTGGAGTTCAATAGAGATTGCATCATCTGTTGATCTTTTGGGGCGGTATGCAAATTGGAGTGTCTCTACGGTTTCTGGTGTTGTGAGTCATGACCAGCCTTTCATAGGACTTCATGTCTACAGATGTGAGTGCTACAGGTCATCTTAGTGTTCTTGGGCACAGGGACTATGGTGGTCTGCTTGAAACATGTTGGTATTACAAACTCAGTCAGGGACATGTTGAAAATGTCAGTGAAGACACTTGCCAGTTGGTCAGCGCATGCTCGGTGTACACGTCCTGGTAATCCGTCTGTTGACCTGCTTAAAAGTCTTACATTTTACGGACACAATCTATTTTACAATAGTTATATTTTGTTTATTTTTAGTCCTGTCCTTCCTCCAGGGTTGCTGTTAATAATGGCAGACACTGGCTGTGACTCCACTCTCCGAGGGTGTCTCAGGGATTGCTTGGATATGCAAAAAACACATTTCCAATTCACACAGGTATTAATACGCACTTATATAATATAAGCACCCACCAAATGATTTGTATTTATTGTAAATATTGTTGTTAATAGCTGCATATAGAGAGAAAGCATGCCAACCTTTTAGGCCATGCATGACCCCAATGCATTTAAAAACTACACCATGTCCAGGCCAGTAGAAATTCTGTTCGGGCCAATAAATTTGTCCAACTGGCCCGGTCGTGCCAGTGAGAAAAAAAAATGTGTTAGCATTGGACAATATCATAGCCTACGAATAGGACCCAGAGTCTTACCTGACCAGGTCATCATGAAAAACTCCATGCCTGAGAAAAGACATGTAGGAATTCTGCATTATTTTTTATGAGGAAAATCTGTTTGATGTTAGTTATATAAGCTGTTTCAGGACTTAAGCAGTAAGGCTAACATGGCCTGTTTAAGTCAACTAGGAGATTATTGTTTGTCTCATTCAAGTGACTGTTTGACACTGAATATCAGTGAAGGCAAGCCCCCAAGGATTTTACAATGGCCTCAATAGTGTTTAGTGTGAGACATTGACAGCCTAAATAATCACAATAATGATTTGGGCCTTGTGCTCTGAACAGTCCTGCATGACAAAACACAACTGTACTATAATAAAAACGTGTTTGAAAGAATTGTCACTACAGTAGTCTTGCACATCTTTTTGCTAAATGAATCTATACTTTAAAATGTTTTGTCCATGTTTCATCCATTAAGACCACAATGATCTGTCTGTAATTCTGCTTCAAGACAAAATGTTTGTGTCCAGTGCCTTCTGCTGGTAGGTGTTATAAACTACAGCCATTTTTCTACAAGGAATGTCAGTCAAATGGTTGAATTGACCCTCCCACCCAGTCTTTGGACCACCTGCCTTGGAAACCATAGACAACTAGCTAACAAGGGATGTTTTACGTCAGATATGTGTATCAGCTAGCTATATATATTGTACTACTAGAGAATATTGGAATTAGAAGAAAGTTCTGCATATTGTTGGAGAGGCTAGCTAGCTACCTTTTCTCATTGTTGAGTTGCTAACATTTGGCAGCTTGGTACCGCCAACTAGCTAGCTAGCTTGCAAGTTTGCCATCTAACGTTAGCGAACGCTAGCTAGCAGATTTGGTCAACCAGCAACGCCTAGCAACTAGCTAGCTGGGACAAGTGACTTCAGCTTTTGAACAAGTGAAATATCTGTCCTACATGTTCGAAGGACAAGTGGCTAAAAAAGTTCATGTCAAGCCCTGCTGTCTAGGATCTTCAATTGTGTTTCAGTCTGCAAAAACTGTTCTAGAAAACTTCCTCTTTGACACAGTAGAGACAGTTGGAGGGGAGCATGGCCGGCCCGCTCATTAGGTAGGATAGGCGGCATTTTCTGAGCTAAACTGACCAAGACGGACCTCCAACAACAACACCTAAAACCTCACATAAGTCTGCCCAAAAACAATGACAATTTCTCTCAACCGGTGTCATATGGGCTTTTTAGGTAAGTGCTGATGCCGCCCTGTGATAAGCCGTGCCCACTTTGTCAAAGGCAGGTGCGCAAACTATTTTGCTTGTCCATTCCCAGCGAGACTCTCCAGGGTGCTGTTTGAGACAAACGTCGCTGCGGCGCTCCACCAACGTTCTGTCAAAAAAATTAACATAAATAATGTAGCAGATATAGGATATGGTAGAAAGAGTATGTGGCCTTTTCTGTAGCCTACAGGCTGGAGATCAAATGTATGACAATGTAATGAGGTGACACTTTCTACATGATGCAGGTTCCTCCGATCAAATAGCCTAACAAATGGCTCTCAATCAAATAAGAAATGTGCTGTCATGTTAACAAACAACATATCCTAAAAACAGGACAAAGTAAAATGGACAATATGGAATGGACAATCACAACTGTTGTCCAGGATTTTCACCCCATTGTCATGATCAGTGGTGTCAGGTTTGTATCCGTACATTTTTGACAAGCGGATCATAGCGAAAAATGTAATACTTCTGCATTTCTCACTGTGTAAACACATTGTAAATAGGCTCACGATAACTCCTGATAAAGTTGGGTAGCTGATACTCGGAGCTTAAATTGTTTTACAAAACGGTGGGCATTCATAAAATTCCATTGCGGGGCAACATGGTAGGCTACACCTCAGTAAGCATGAGCCAACATCTTCTGGACATTTTTTGTGTGTTTTACAAACGGTAGGCTTACCACAGATGGGCATTCATAAAATGCAATTACAAGCAACACTGTAGCTACACCTCAGTAAGCACGGACCGATGCAGACGCCTTTCGGACGTCTTTTTTTTGTGCAGTCCGGACCGGCCTTGATTTCCACATCCACCCATAGACATTGGTTTTTGGTCCGGTCCAGACCAAATCTGAACCAATCATAGAAGTCTATGTTTGGTTCAGATTTTGTCCAGTCTGGACCAGCCTTGATTTGGCCAAACATAGACGTCTATAAATTACTTATTTTCAACTTCCATTCTGAACCAAACATGAACATGATTTCAACATCCAGAAAATATGTATTTCAACATTGTTTTGCAGGTCTCAGCAGAACGGCAAGGACTGGCCCTGGAGGAGAGTTCAGTCCTATTCAAGGTGTCAGGTAAGTTGAGGACTCATTCATACTTCCCAGTCCCAGAATCAGATTCTCTGTCAATCAATCATTCAGCAAAATGATTGATTGGAAACCATGCGTTTGATACCATTCCACTCATCCCGCTCCAGCCATTACCACGAGCCCGTCCTCCCCAATTAAGGTGCCACCAACCTCCTGTGAACTGTACAGTGTACACCTAACACAGAAACTCACTCACAGCTTTTGGGAATTAGTCAATTAACAGGTTCACTCTTTCACTTCAGTGTCATTAACAAATCTGTCCATCAGAATTCACAGCAAAACTGAATACTGCATTGCAGTTACAGGATGTCCATCTAATCAAAGCTACTACTTTACCAACTTGTCTCTTCTGATGCAGGTTTGAGTCATGCTGGCCAGCGTCTATGAAAGACTCCAACAGTGTAGTGATAGTGTTCAACCACGCCACCTGACGGAACTAGAGACATGGCACTACAAGTTAATCTCTTCACAGGGGCTGCATGACTGCCACTGTCTGCTGACGGCCCACCACAAACCTGGCAGTGGAGCAGATAACATAAGACCCAACCAGTGGAGGCTGGTGGGAGGAGCTATAGGAGGACAGGCTCAATTTAATGGCTGGAATGGGAAAATTGGAACAGTATCAAAAACACATGGAAACCACGTTTGACTCCGTTCCATAAATTCCATTACAATGAGCCCATCCTCCTATAGCCCCTCCCACCAGCTTCCACTGGACCCAACCTAGGTAGGCCTAAAAATCAACAAGCTCATCCTTGTGTGTTACATCATGTATAATTTGCTAATACATTAGCTTTTTTTTTTCATTTGAATGACATTAGAAAGTTTCCAACGCTCCTGCTGCTAAAAGGAACCTTTTGTGAGTACATGCCATATCATGCGTCACTTCTTTAAAGACCGGCCATACGCCACTGCTGTTCGATTCATACCAGAGGCCACAATTGTCATTTGGATCTCTTAGACATGTTTTGGCATATGTGTGTGTAGCCTCACATTTGAACAGGTTACCGCTGATGCACTTAACCTAGAGGAGGATCCTGAGGATGTGCGCCAGGGGGTCCACAGGTACTTGGTCTACATACTGTCAGAGGACCGGGAGCAAGAGGTGGTGTCTATCATTAGTTAATATTGTGCCTTAGCGTCTTCATCCATCATCGCCGATGTTTGGATTTAGACTCCACTAAACGTACTCTGTAGTCAAAGGATCTGCAACCCCTTTGTCACTTCACCACAGCCCACCTCAGACATTTCTGTGCATGTCAGACAGTGGAGGCTCCTCAGAGGAGGAAGGGGAGGACCATCCTCCCCTCAGTGAATTTCATAAAAATTTAAGTTATTTGTCAACCTTCAACTGCACTTGGATATTTTGTTCACAGGAGGTTGGTGGCACCTTAATTGGGGAGGACGGCTCGTGGTAATGGCTGGAGCGGGTTAAGTGGAATGGTATTAAATACAAACACATGGTTTCCATGTGTTTGATGCCATTCTATTAACTCTGTTCCGGACATTATTATGAGCCGTCCTCCCCTCAGCAGAATCAGCTCCACTGATTTTGTTGTGTGTGTGTGTATATAAAAATGTCTACTTTTATAAACACTTTCCACTAAAAAGTCTCAGAATAATGTTGGCAACTTCAATATATTCGATAGAAGTCCTGAAGTGTCTAGGAAAAGACCTGATAATGAGTTGTAAATGTTCAAGTTACAGTGCAATAGTTCTTTAAACAATTGACATTTTATTAATTGGATCTCCACAGTTGAGTTGGAAGTTAAGAGCGTGCAACACTCAGAGCAAAAAGCGACAGGACAGTCCAAAATTTAAACGGCGTATCCTACGATGCCTCCTTTCCCGATGCACTCTCCAATGTAGAACCACATCAGCACTTCAGTGCAGACCATTCCATTTCTGAACGCATCCTGTAACAAAAGCATATTGACATTGAGATTAATCCCAAACAAATACCAGTGAGTAACATCTAAAATCAACATGAGGATATTCAAGGACAAGAAACAGACAATTACATATTTCCCAAATGGTTAGGGTGTAGGCCTAATGTCTCCTCTAGTGGATTGTGGCTTCTTTCAAAGAATAACTTACTTTGATTATGAAGGGACTACTTGTAAGATTTGAGATAGGGAACATTGGTCGTGACCCAAGACTGCCTCGCAGGTCCCGGGACTGCCGCTCAGAAATATCAGCCCACCGAGAGAAGCAGATTTTCTAGAGCAGTGGTCACAAACCAGTCGATCGACCAAATATTTATGTAAAAAACCAACGATAAAGTCTTACCTTCTTATTTTTCTATTTGATTTGTCTAGGGCTGTTGGCTTTAGGCGCCCCCGATTCAGCTGCCCTGCGCACTGGGTAGGCGAACTGTTGCCATTTTGAACCATTTCATGTGTCTGAAGGCACAAACTCTGCCTTCCACGCGGGACCAGAGAGCAAATCAAGTGCCATATAGGCCTACCACTTGCCAATCGGATGGCTCAGATGACCGTGTCTGCAGTAACGTAGCAGGCATAAAAGGAAGTTACAGCGAAGTTGATACTGAGATTTCTAAACCATGACTAGAGAGACTCAACGAATACAGCAAAGATTTGCCGTTTTCATGAGCGAGTTCATGTTTAAGTTCTTACTCAGCACTGTCAACACTTTGTTTAACACTTTTATAAGCCATAAAATGCACTTTCTTCCTATTTCAGAAAAGGTTCTAGAGTTGTTCTAGAGTTTTCCCTGTTAACACTATCAAAGTGTCCCTTTACTGTGGCAATTTTGACACGCAATATTAGCCACTTTCAAAGCAACATACCAAAACATGCAACAGATTTTGTTGTAGGCAGAACGCATCGGAGTAGGATTCTATTGCATTGACACACACTACTCAGCCCAAACTCTACACAGACAGGTGCCGCATAAACAATCAGAGCTGCAGTAGGCCTATATCCAAATAGACCATTGCCATATATGGATCTGTGCCACTTACGTTGAACTGGACTGTGTTTACAGCATCAGCAGTCATGAGTAGATGCGCTTGTTTCGAGATCAAAGCGAGAGCTGCATGTAGCCACGTGTGCACATTTCGTTCATATCCTTTGCTAGTTAGTGAGTTATTATCCCAGTTATAGATCATTTGTAGTCAGCAACAGGGGAGTGATTGCTTCTTACAAGAGCACACAACGTATACATTTCTAGACATCTTTGAAAGCATATTTTTGTCTTAAAAGGGGCAGTGTTGTATTTTGAGACAGGCTTGCATAAGTTAAGTAGCCAATAGGCAGAGGGCAGCATAATTTGTCTGATTCTCTGTAATAATGGTATGGGAATAATAATAATACATTTTATTTTGTAAAGTGGTTTCTTGCATCAAACAACATTTTCAGTCACCTCCTTGTCTGAAGGAAAAGTGGATAAACAGGTTGATGTCAAGCCCTGCATGTTCTTTTTTTCCCAAAAGTCTCATGGAATGTAGGTCTACATTGAACACCACACATTGGATGCTACTGTAGGCTGAATTATAGAACAGCTATTTCCATGTTAAAATGTTATGGGATGCATTTTCTACATTGTTTTTGATGGTAGGCCTACATTATGATCAAATAGCCACAGTCCAGCCTCAGTGTTCACAGTAAATGTGCGCTGGAAGTTGCACAGAACTTTCACAACGTTTTGAAATTTGCTCAGTGACTAATTGTTTGAGGGAACATTGGTCACAACACCCACATTCAGAGAGCCAACGGCCAAAAGAAAGTACTAGCTAGCTACTTACACAGAAATGCATTGATTTAACCTCAAGCAAATCTTCTCAGTTCTCACCTTCACTGTGGTCTGTCCAAGGCGTCCACTGTTGACACCGGTGAGGATGTTCTTGATTCCTGCAATGGCCTGGGGAATCTCGGCAGGGGAAGGGGGCACAAGCTCGACTTTAGCGTAGTGCCAGAAGGTCGCTAGCCGGGGCTTGGAGTAGGTGGCAGCGGCTGAAAAAACAAAATGTACACGCCATGTCATGAAATGTGTCCTCTGCTGCACGCTGCTGGGTCAAGCGAGACAAGAAACATTAGCTAATGTTAGATATAAATTTACAGGTGAGACAGATAGGTGACTCAGAGAGCTTGTCAGAACAACTGCCTAAGATTGACATTTAGCTAGTTAGGTAGCCAAGTTACCTAGCTAGCTAACAAATTAGTACTATCTACTAAAATGTGTTACCACATCTAGCTAACTAGCTAGCCAACACTCATTTGTAGACAATTTATTATTCGAGATTGATGGTGACTTGGCTACACTGAGTGTACAAAACATTAAGAACACTGCTCTTTCCATGACAGACTGACCAGGTGAAAGCTACGATTCCTTATTGATGTCACTTGTTAATCTGTGTAGATGAAGGGGAGGAGACCGGTGAAATAAGGATTTTGAAGCCTTGAGACATGGCTTGGTATGTGTGCCATTCAGAGGGTGAATGGGCAAGACAAAATATATAAGTTAGGCTGGACAATAGAACGAGTCAAAATTCACCCAAGGCTGAAAAACGGTCAAAGAACACTAGCGCGAGACCATAGCAAATTAATTGAAACAAACCTTCGCTGAGCCTCTTTTGACTGGAATGATCCTTAGAATTCAATTTCCCCTAAATGGCACCAAAAAAATGTATACCTTTTCATTTCACCACTACAATCTGTTTTTAGGACAAAACTGAAAAATAACAACTGTGCATATGTCTGCATAACAAGGAAGTAGGAAATAAATGGCAACTTCTGACTATTTCTGGTCTAGCGATCGATGGCAACGGAGTACACTGCCCAGCCTTACATAATTAGAAAGAGATTCTCATGATTAAAATGGTGTCCTACTTGGAGAAAAAAAATCTAAATATACACATTGTGAGATATTTGGCAAAATATACCAGCATGCCTCTCCATAGGAAAACAATGGGGGGAGCTCAGCGTTACAAAGGCAAAAAGTATTTTGGGGCTAGCATTTGACGACAACAGAGTACGCTGCCCAGTCTTACATAATTAGAAAGAGGAGATTCTCATGATTACAATGGTGCCCGACTTGCAAAAAATGTAAATATACACATTGCGAGATATTTTGTGAAATAAAACAGACATACCTATATTTCCCCTATAGGAAACAATGGGACAATCTCACAGTTCCATTAGTACTTTTTGTAGTTGTTGATGTTTTAACTACCAGCAATTGGTAACAGCAATGTACGCGGCCCAAACTTACATCATTGGAAATAATAGGTTATCCTGATTTTAAATGGTGTATAACTTCAAACCATTAAAATACCATACATTGAGATATTTGGCAAAATAGACAGACATGTCCATATTTCCCCAAAACAATGGCAGTCTGAAAGTTCTAAGAACAGTCTTTTATTTAACCAGCTCGCCATTTATCTACTACCATTTGCCTTTTTGTGTTTAACACTTTGTGGTTTGTAATCTACCGGTTAAGAGCGTTGGGCAGTAACTGAAAGGTGGCTGGTTCGAATCCCCGAACGGACTAGATGAAAACTCTGTCGATGTACCCTTGAGCAAGGCACTTAATCCTAGTCGCTCTGGATAAGAGCATCTGCTAAATGACTAAAATGTAAATGTAAACTAGGCCTCTGTGAAAGCGTGGCAATAACTTATTAACTTTTAATTATTCACAGATCTACTCCTCTGATGGCAGGCAGCACACTCCTGAAAATGAACTGCTCAGCAAAGCAAAGGCTATTTTGAGAGCTACCAGTGTCTGTGTTTATATGTTAAGGGTGTGCTACTTTGCCAGATAATGTCACCCATCTAAATAGTTTTTATTTTTATTTTAAGAATTAACTAAATGTATGGTGTTTGTCAGTTTCATTGTTTGTTATGCTATACATTTATTTTAGTTTTTATTTAACTAGGCAAGTCAGTTAAGAACAAATTCTTATTTACAATGAAGGCCTACCAAAAGGCAAAAGGCCTCCTGCGGGACACGGTGGCTGGGATTAAAATATATATATTTATATACACACTACAGGTCAAAAGTTTTAGAACACCTAATCATTCATGGGTTTTTCTTTATTTTTACTATTTTCTACACTGTAGAATAATAGTGAAGACATCAAAACTATGAAATAAAACATATGGAATAATGTAGTAACCAAAAAAGTGTTAAACAAAGCAAAATACATTTTATATTTGAGATTCTTCAAATAGCCACCATTTGCCTTGATGACAGCTTTGCACACTCTTGGCATTCTCTCAACCAGCTTCATGAGGTAGTCACCTGGAATGCAGTTCAATTAACAGGTGTGCCTTCTTAAAACTTAATTTGTGGAATTTATTTCCTTCTTAATGCATTTGAGCCAATCAGTTGTGTTATGACAAGGTAGGGGGAGTATACAGAAGATGGTATTTTACCAAATAGGGCTATGTCCATATTATGGAAAGAACAGCTCAAATAAGCAAAGAGAAACGACAGTCCAAATAAGCAAAGAGAAACGACAGTCCATCATTACTTTAAGACATGAAGGTCAGAAAGTTTATTCAAGTCCAGTCGCAAAAACCATCAAGAAATTGCAGCCCAAATAAACGGATCACAGAGTTCAAGTAACAGACATCTCAACATCAACTGTTCAGAGGAGACTGTGAATCAGGCCTTCACGGTCAAATTGCTGCAAATAAACTGCTACTAAAAAGGACACCAATAAGAATAAGAGACTTGCTTGGCCCAAGAAACACAAGCAATGGACATTAGACCAGTGGAAATGTGTCCTTTGGTCTGGGGTCCAAATTGGAGATTTCTGTCTTTGTGAGACGTGGTGTAGGTGAACGGATGATCTCTGCATGTGTATTTCCCACCGTAAAGCATGGAGGAGGCGGTTTTATGGTGTGGGGGTGCTTTGATGGTGACACTGTCTGTGAATTATTTAGAATTCACATTTAATCAGCATGGCTACCACAGCATTCTGCAGCAATACGTCATACCATCTGGTTTCGGCTTAGTGGGACTACCATTTGTTTTTCAACAGGACAATGACCCAACACACCTCCAGGCTGTGTAAGGGCTATTTTACCAAGAAGGAGGGTGATGGAGTGCTGCATCAGATGACCTGGCCTCCACAATCCCCCGACCTCAACCAAATTGAGATGGTTTGGGATGTCGGACCGCAGAGTGAAGGAAAAGCAGCCAACAAGTGCTCAGCAGGTGGGAACTCCTTCAAGGCTGTTGGAAAAGCATTCCAGGTGAAGCTGGTTGAGAGAATGCCAAGAGTGTGCAAAGCTGTCATCAAGGCAAAGGGTGGCTATTTGAAGAATCTCAAATATAAAATATATATTGATTTGTTTAACACTTTTTTGGTTACTATATGATTCCATGTGTTATTTCATAGTTTTGATGTATGCACTATTATTCTACAATGTAGACCGGGGGGGGGTTGAAGAGAGGGAGAGAGATATTATATATAATTGATATATAAACTCAGCAAAAAAAGAAACGTCCCTTAAACCATAAACAATTAATGAACATGCTCCTGTGGAACGGTCGTTTAGACACTAACAGCTTACAGACGGTAGGCAATTAAGGTCACAGTTATGAAAACTTAGGACACTAAAAGAGGCCTTTCTACTGACTCTGAAAAACACCAAAAGAAAGATGCACAGGGTCCCTGCTCATCTGCGTGAACGTGGCTTAGGCATGCTGCCAGGGCAATAAATTGCAATGTCCGTACTGTGAGACGCCTAAGACAGCGCTACAGGGAGACAGGACGGACAGCTGATCGTCCTCGCTGTGGCAGACCACGTGTAACACCTGCACAGGATCGGTACATCCGAACATCAGACCTGCGGGACAGGTACAGGATGGCAACAACAACTGCCTGAGTTACACCAGGAACGCACAATCCCTCCATCAGTGCTCAGACTGTCCGCAATAGGCTGAGAGAGGCTGGACTGAGGGCTTGTAGGCCTGTTGTAAGGCAGGTCCTCACCAGACATCACCGGCAACAACGTCGCCTATGGGCACAAACCCACCGTTGCTGGACCAGACAGGACTGGCAAAAAGTGCTCTTCACTGACGAGTCATGGTTTTGTCTCACCAGGGGTGATGGTCGGATTCGCGTTTATCGTTGAAGGAATGAGCGTTACACCAAGGCCTGTACTCTGGAGCGGGATCAATTTGGAGGTGGAGGGTCCGTCATGGTCTGGGGCAGTGTGTCACAGCATCATCGGACTGAGCTTGTTGTCATTGCAGGCAATCTCAACGCTGTGCGTTACAGGGAAGACATCCTCCTCCCTCATGTGGAACCCTTCCTGCAGGCTCATCCTGACATGACCCTCCAGCATGACAATGCCACCAGCCATACTGCTCGTTCTGTGCATGATTTCCTGCAAGACACAAATGTCAGTGTTCTGCCATGGCCAGCGAAGAGCCCAGATCTCAATCCCATTGAGCACGTCTGGGACCTGTTGGATCGGAGGGTGAGGGCTAGGGCCATTCTCCACAGAAATGTCTGGGAACTTGCAGGTGCCTTGGTGGAAGAGTGGGGTAGAGTGGGGTAACATCTCACAGCAAGAACTGGCTAATCTGGTGCAGTCCATGAGGAGGAGATGCCCTGCAGTACTTAATGCAGCTGGTGGCCACACCAGATACTGACTGTTACTTTTGATTTTGACCCCCCCTTTGTTCAGGGACACATTATTCAATTTCTGTTAGTCACAGGTCTGTAGAACTTGTTCAGTTTATGTCTCAGTTGTTGAATCTTGTTATGTTCATAAAGATATTTACACATGTTAAGTTTGCTGAAAGTAAACGCAGTTGACAGTGAGAGGACCTTTCTTTTTTTGCTGAGTTTATATGACCAAACACACATCACAACAAGAGAGACAACAACATAAAGAGAGACCTAAAAACAACAACATAGCATGGTGGCAAACCAACATGAAAACAACATGATAGCAACACAACATGGTAGCAGAACAAGACATGGTACAAACATTATTGGGCACAGACAACAGCACAAAGGGCAAGAAGGTAGAGACAACAATACATCACGCGAAGCAGCCACAACTGTCAGTAAAGAGTGTCCATGATTGAGTCTTTGAATGAAGAGATTGAGATAAAAAAAATATTTAACAGGAAAACTCCTGCGCTCACTTTTTTCTGTCCCTTTCCACACTGCTAACGCAAGACGAAGGACTGAAAAAGCATTTAACGATTCATGTTTTACCTGTTT